GTGAGTTTTATGGGATTCTGACGGGATTTGGGGTCATTTTCAGGGATTTGGGGTCATTTTAAAGGATTTGGGGTCATTTTCAGGGGGTTCCAGGGGTCCTCAGAGGCTCCAGGATGGAATTAAGGACAATTTTGGGGTGAATTCGGGCCATTTTGGGGCAAATTTGGGGCGTTTTTTAGGAGCCCTTGCGAGACTTTGAAGGCAGATCTGGGGTCATTTTGGGGGATTTTGGGTCATTTTGAGGAACACAAAGGGGTCCTGAAGGGCTCCAGGTTGGACCTGGGGCCAATTTTGGGGTAAATTTGGGTCATTTTGGGACCAATTCGGGCCGTTTTCTTAAGCCCCTGTGCGATTGACAGCATTTGAAGCCATTTTGGGGCGATTTCAGGGCATTTTGGGTCATTTTGGGGGATTCCAGGACCCCGAAGGGCACCGCGATGCATTCGGGGATAATTTGGGGCTCAATTTGGGCGATTTGGGGTAAATTGGGGCCCGTTTCGTGGCTCTCCGGTGTTTCCCGACCCTTAAGGGCCGCCCTGGGGCGATTTTGGGGCGATTCCAAGCGGTTTCGGGTCATTTTCAAGGACGCTGAGGGGCTCCGCGGCGGCCGCGCGGCGTTCGGGGCGGATTTTGGGGTAAATTCGGCGGATTTCGGGGCCCACCTCCTCTCGCAGCGCCTTCAGCAGCCTCACAGCCTCCGCCACCTCCGCCATTTTGCGCCTCACGCCGACCGGAACCGGAAAACGGCAGCTCAGCCAATCAAAACGCGGCACGGAGCTGCTTAGCCAATAACAGCGCGCATAGCGCAGCGCTGAACCCGCCTCTCTGCGAGGATTGGCAGAGAGAAAGGAAGAGGCGGTGCTGGGAGTGATGGACGAGTGGCTCGTCCAATGGGAGCGCAGCACCGCGCCGTGACTTCCTGAAAAGCCCCAAAACGCCTCAAAATGCCCCAAACCCGCCCAAATTCCCCGCGAGGCCCCAAAATCTCGCGATATCGCGCCGCAAATCCCCCCGCGCCCCCACCCGCCCCCATTTTCCCCCCAATGCCCCGAATTCACCCCGAATTCCCGCCCCAAATTCATTTATTTTCCCCAAACCCCCCCGATTTCAGCCCAAAACTCGGCGCCGTTTTTCTCCTCCGCCTTTATTTCCCCATCCTGCCGGGTCTCCGTGGTGCAGCGCCGCCGCTCCGCCCCCAAAAGCCCCCGGGTTGGGTCCAAAAGGCCCCAAATTTGGGTTTCAAAATCCGCCATTTTGGGTCCAAACGGCGCCGTTTTGGGGCCAAAAAGCTGAAATTTGGGGGTCAGGATTTCCCAAATTCGGGGCTGGGAGGCAAAAATTGGGGTGAAAAGAGGCGAATTTGGGGGCGAAAGGCGCAGATTTGGGTGCAGAGCCCAAATTTGGGGTCGGGGGCGTCGAGATCCGAGTGCAAAACCCCACATTTGGGTCCAAAAAGGGGAATTTGGGGGCTCAAAGTCGCCATTTTGGGTCTGAACCCCCAGATTTGAGGCCTGAATCCCCCGATTTTAGGGGCAAAAATGGGGTTTTTCACCCCAAAATCCCAAATCTGAGGGGTTTTGAGGCAAATGATCCCAAATCTGAGCCGGGATCCGGCGATTTTTGGGTGGAAATACCCCGATTTTGGGTCAAAACTGCGATTTGGAGCCCAAAGCCGGGCTGAGAGCCCAAAGTTTGGGACAAAAGCCCCCAAATTTGGGGTAAAATCTTCAAGTTTTGGGCAAAACCCCTGGATTTGGTGCCTTTGTGCCCCGATTTTGGGTCCAAATGCTTCCATTTTGGGGTCCAAAATCCCATTTTCTTACCCCCAAAGCCCAAATCTGAGGCGCTCAGAGCCCAAAGCCGGGTTGGAGCCTCCAGATTTTGGGTGAAAAACCTCAGATTTTGGGTCAAAACCTTCAGATTTTGGGTCAAAACTTCACATTTGGGCTTAAATCTGTTGATTTTGGGTCAAAAGTATCCATTTTTGGACCCCGAAAGCCCAAATCTGAGGCGCTCAGACCCCAAACGGCCTCAAACCGAGGGGAGACCCCCGGATTTTGGGTCAAAATCCCCCGATTTTGGGTCAAACCTTCAAATTTTGGGGTCTCAGCCCCCAATTTTGGGTCTGAACGCCTGGATTTGGGCTCAAAAACTCCCATTTTTGAACCCTAAACCCCAAATCTGAGGGGCTCAGACCCCAAACGGCCCCAAATTGAGGGCGGACCCCCCGATTTTGGGTGAAAACCCCCCGATTTTGGGGCTCAGCGCCGCCCCCCCCGGTCCCTTAACGGGGTGCTGCGGCTGCGGCTCCGCCTCTTGGAGCGAGGGGCGGAGCCTGGGGTCGCGCTCTGATTGGCCGAAGGTTGCGAGGTTCCGCTTCCGGATTGGCGATCGCGACCGGAAGCCCCGCCCCTTTTGTCGTGGCCCCGCCCGCTGCGGGCTCGAAGCTCCGCCTCTTCCTGTTCCTTGCGGCGCCGTTCCCTTTCCCGGGCTCTGGCCTGGCGCTCCGCCTGCTTCTGAGAGAACTGCCGCCATTGGGCGGGAAAATGCATACATTAGGAAAGGGGGCGGGGCTACGGGGCGAGGGGGCGGGGCTTAGAGATGGGGCAATGAATGGGGGAAGGATCTGAGGGGGGAAATGGGGAAAAATGGGGGAAAGCGGGTTGGGTTAGCCCCGCCCACCGGTAGTCCCGCCCACCTGGCTGTCAGTCAGCGGCAGCCAATAGATGCACGGCGCAGCCTTGGTCTTCCGGAAGAGATCGTCCAATAGTTTTGCAGGAGGTTCTTCCGGGGCTTTCTCTACCGGAAGAGGAGGGGCCACGTGGGGACACGCCCACTGTGAGTGTAGCCCCGCCCCTTCTGTGCCCCACTGCGACCCATAGAGCCCCATAGCCACCACATAGCTCCCCATAGCCACCCCATAGCGACCCATAGCCACCCCATAGCGACCCATAGCCACCCATAATGCCCCATAACCACCCCATAGCAACCCATAGAACCCCATAGAGCCCCACAGCCACCTCATAGCGCCCCATAACCACCCCATAGCCATCCCATAGACTATAGTGCCCCATAAACACCCCATAGTGCCCCATAGCACCCCATAACAGCCCCACAGCACCCCATAACCACCCCAGTGCCCCATAACCACCCCATAGCGCTCCATAGCACCTCATACCACCCCACATCACCCCATAACCCCCCCATAG